CTGCTCCTCCACATCGAGAGGATCAAGTTGAGGTGGTTCGGGTATCTGGTACAAATGCCCCCTGAGCGCCTCAATAGGGAGGTGCTTCGGGCATGTCCGACTGGGAGGAGACACCAGGGAAGACCCAGGAAAAGCTGAAGAGACTATGTCTCTCGGTTGGTCTGGGAACTCCTTGGAGTCCTCCCAGAACAGTTGGAAGAAGTGGCCGTGGAGAGAGATGTCTGGGCTGGGATGGATGGACCCTTAATTTTCTACTTTTAAACTCAGACAAAACTCAGGTTTGGATTTTTGGACTTTAGCATCTTAGGAATAAATTTTGCAGTATTTTACCAACTCTGGATGGTCACAGAAGAGGATTAATTGACGTAAGACTCTTCTCTGAATTGTCACTTGTATCCAGGTCCAACGTGGTGCCACACCCTACTGATGTTGGACTGGCAATGTGCCCTTCCTGCCAACTTTGGTATCCATTTGATCTGTTACTATAATCATTGAGAGTACTCTCAACTTATGCAATTTCTTCTCATTTCCACTGCTCTATCAGGGTACCAAATGTTGTTTTCTTCTCTTTTTCAATTTCATGGTTGTCAGTGAGTGTATAAGATGTGGTCTTGGACCCCTTTCAGCTGAGAAGAAGAAGCTAGATAAGATCATCAAGAAGGCCAGCTCTGTGCTTGGATGCCCCCTCGACCCAGTGCAGGTGGTGGGAGACAGAAGGACTCTAGCTAAAATAACATAATTGCTGGACAACGTCTCCCACCCCATGCATGAAGCTGTTGCTGAACTGGAGAGCTCGTTCAGTGACAGATTACTGCATCCTAAATGCACAAAAGAGCGTTACCGCAGGTCCTTCCTCCCAGCAGCTGTTAGACTGTACAACCATCACTGCTCCCAACAAACTTAATAAGGATTAAATACATGCTGACCTCTGCTAAAACAAACACACACTCTGCCTGTAATACTGTACTGTAAATAGTCTGCCATTCTCAATGTTCCAATACATATTGAACATTGTTATTTCTTATATATTGTATTGTTTATTAACATTTTAGGAACTTTTGTGTGACATCTTTTTATCTTTTTATCTGTTGCTGCTGTTGCTGCTGATACACTGGAATTTCCCATCCGTGGGACAAGAAAGGCTGTTTCCATTTCTATTTCCAGTCACTATGACCTTCTGTGAGCAGATTTACACCATCTCTTTTCAGGAATTTCAAAAGAAAACCTTTTTTAATATACAATATAGTGATTTTCTTGCTAGCATCCAAGGTCAATCTGATTATTGTTATTGATAGTTGCTAAATTCAGAGCTAGGTCACGATGCCCTGTGACCCCGCTGCACCTGCTTAATACATAAAGTAAGAAAACAGCAAAACAATTCTTGGAAAACAGATTTTTGGCATATGTGTCGCTGTCATCACGCTTCTGAAAACGCTTTTTCAGAATTAGTGGTTTCTGAGATTGGTATGTTGAAGATCTCCCAAGAAACTAGGAATGAATTTGACTCAAGGGCGCTTTTCAAGGAATCGTTTGGATTTACTGCTGCAAGTCTTTGGCCCTTGTTGTGAGCCTGAACATTTGGAGGCTGTGGTTACACGGTTTCCCTTTTGTTTCTTTCCAACTGGCGGTCAAAACAGAGTGCAATAAGTGATGGTTAGACTTCTGTAAAGGGTCTTTCCCAGAATAAGTCCTGCTGTGGTCACAGGGGTCAATGTGTCTTGGCGAGACTTAACCTTTTGATTTGTGTTACTGAGTCTGCATATCAAGAAACACTTCACTTCTTCAGAAAAATGTGGCTTGTTGGTAAAATAAATAAGTAAATAAATCAGACATGCACACCTGCAGACACACGATCATGATCACGAACATGGGTGATTAGGTTTCAAAAAAACTTGAAACGTCAGATGACATTCCTTTTCCGCATATGAGTGCTCTCCAAAACTGATCATAAAAGAGGTTTTCAGATGAGGTGCAGACTCTTCAAAAAAGCAAATAAATCATTCCCCGTTCATATTAATGCAGTCTTTACCTGTGGTCTGAGAGCTACAACAAACCAGAAACTCCTAACTTGCAGGAGGAAAGTTGAGATAATTTAAATGGCATGCCTGCACAATTATGGGACTGAGAAAAGTTTTAAGGATCTTCCATGTGAGAAACAAACTAGGCAATTAAAATACCTTTTAAAAATTAACTGTGCCCCAAAACTGCGATCACTGCAGAGACTTTTGTTTTACGTAAAGTACTGTATATCAAAGAGAGAGTAATCAAAGTAAAAGGAAGAAGTCTCATCGTTTCTGTATCCTGAAATATAAGCTGTTTACTTGACAAGTTGAAGTTGCTTGTTATCCATCCATGCTTTGTTTGTTAGGTTTACTGTCATAAGAAGTGGGTGATATATTGAGCTAATATTTGGTGTGGTTCTAGCTTAGAGTTGTTTACAACACATCTTAAGCCTTAAGTTTAATTGTTATTGGAAGATTGTGCATTTAAAGGTTGTGAATTTTTTTTGCCATAAATAGACGTTACCATTGCATTTAGTACTATTAAACTGTTGGCAATCTCTCAGGTTTCGTAAGAAGTATTTTTTTTTTAAATACAAACATTTACTGTTCAGGCACAATCTACTATTAGATGCAACAATCCAAACTAATAGTTGAATTATTTCAAGTTCAAGTTGTATTTATTTGTCATATCATGGTCGTGCTGCTGTTCAACGTAATGTTTTATGCTATTAGTGCTGAGTATATTTTAGTTGATGTTTTTCTTAGTTCATATCTTAGATTTTATGACCGTTTTTCTTATACATTTTATTGTTGGATGTAACTGGGACCAGGGGCAGCACGGTGGCGCAACTGGTAGAGCTGCTGCATCTCAGCGAGCAGGTCCCTGGTTCAAACCCCGGTCCAGGGGCCTTTCTGGGTGGAGTTTGCATGTTCTCTCCATGCATGCGTGGGTTTTCTCCGGGTACTCCGGTTTCCTCCCACAGACCAAAAACATGCAAGTTATGCTGATTGGTAATTCTAAATTGTCCCTAGGTGTGAGTGAGAAAGTGAATGGTTGTTTGTGTCGTTTGTCTCTATGTGGCCCTGTGATGGACTTGCGACCCGTCCAGGGTGTACCCCGCCCCTCGCACAGTGATTGCTGGACATGAGCACCAGCGACCCCCGTGACCCAAAATGGAATAAGTGGGCAAAGATAATGGATGGATGGTAACTGGGACCCTGTGTACACAATTTCGCTCCACCACATGTACCACATGCGGTGCGAATGACGATAAAGAATCTCTGACTCTGACATGCAAGGTTAACACCTGGTTAACAGTACAATGAAATGCTTAGGATGAGAAGAACTGATTTGACTTGCAAAAAAATATATCAAAGAACAAACCAAGAAAATACAAAAAAAGCATGCAATAAGGGTACACAAAAAGTACCAATAAGAGAAAAAGTAATTAAAATATTTACAATGTCCTAAAGAAAGATATTGAGCAACAACATGGTAGAAAATAATGGTGCAGCAGGATGAATTTGAATGAGTAAGTATTTCTAGGTAGTAATATAAGCTAAAATGCACGTGATATCTATATATATATATATATATACTGCACATAATCAACATTTAATCAGGTTTGTATCAACGTCGACCCCCAATAAGCAGATTGATTCAGTAAAGACAGAGGCAGGAGTACAAAAGGTAAGTGAACTTTATTTACAGGTGATTGTGTCGTCGCAGCTGTAAGGTAGAGAGGACAAGGTGAGTATGGGTTCTGTTTGTAATTAGAATATTGAATCCTTGAGAAAAAGAATAACTCCTTACTGTTTGTGTTTTTAGGTGAAGGCCGAGAAGGAGAAGAGAGGAGAGGTCCTGGGTTTTGCAGAGGATCCGGTTTGGAGGCAGCTGATGGTGGAGAGAGGAGCAGGTAGACCCAGTTGTGAATTGTTTGAAGGTGGTTGTTGAAGGGACACCATTGATCCACAGGTGGAGCCCAGTGAAGAGATGAGGTCCTAGGAAAGACTTGAAGAGGCAGGCTGTGGAAGGTCCTGCAGGAATCACAGTTGGTGAGAACCAGCTGCAACAAAAGGTTAGTCGGCTGTACTCGAATTACCGTTTGGTAGATGATGTCCCAGCACTGAAGAGGTGTCTGGCAGGAGCTTAAATACACCATCAGGCAGTCCTCCTCAGAGCAGCAGCAGGAGGAGTGAGTTCACCTTAATTAGCTGTGGAAGGAAGAGTGAGTGACATACAAAACCCAGGAATCCCACACATATAACACATATACCACACGGGTTGTGTGACAGGTTATTGCCCAGGTAGTGACATTGAGATTGAATCTCAATTAGTTATTGCCAGTTTATACGATGTTATTTATCAGTGTTATTTATTGAGACTTCATTAATCTGATAGCTTGTGAGTAATAGCTGCCCTTTAGTCTTTTCATGTGCGATGGCAGACTCCTGTATCGTCTGCCTGAGGGTAGTAGACGGAAGAGTCCTTGTGCTGGGTAGGTGTGATCCTTAATGATGCTGCGTGCTTTACGCAGACATCGCTGTGGTAGATGTCCTGGATGGTGTGGAGACTGCTACCAGTGATGTCCTCTGCTGTGTGCATCACCCTCTGTAGAGCTGTTTGGCTCTGGCTGGTGCAGTTCCCGCACCACCCTGTGATGCAGCCTGTCAGCAGGCTTTCAATGGTGCACCTATAAAAGTTGGTGAGGATGCTGGCGTTTGTACCAAATTTCTTTAATCTTCTTAGGAGGTAGAGTCTTTGTCCGGCTTTCTTGACCACAGTGTCTGTATGAAAAGTCCAGGACAAATCCTCGGTAATGTGAACACCGAGGAACTTGAAGCTGCTGACCTGCTCCACCTCAGTGTTGTTTATGTTGATGGTAGAGTGCTGGCCTCCATGTTGTTTCCTGAAGTCCACTATCATCTCCTTTGTTTTGCTGACATTTAGAGAGGGATTATTTTCCAGACACCAGCTGGTCAGTGATTTCATCTCACCTCTGTAGGCACTCTCGTCGTTGTTGGTAATGAGGCCCAGGATGGTGGTGTCATCAGCATACTTGAGGATGATGTTAAAGCTGTGCTTGGCGGTACAGTCATGTGTAAATAGTGAGTACAGGAGTGGACTGAGGACACAGCCCTGAGGTGTACCGGTGCTGAGGACTAGTGTGGAGGAGAGGTGATTGCCGATTCTCACTACATGTGATCTGTTGGTGAGGAAGTCCAGTATCCAGCAGCAGATGGACTTCTCCAGGCCCAATGTGGTGAGCTTGGAGATCAGTTTGGAGGGGATTATGGTGTTGAATGCTGAGCTGTAGTCAATGAAGAGCATTCTCACATAGGTGTTGTCCTTCTTCAGATGGCTGAGGGAGGTGTGAACTGCTAAAGCGATGGTATCATCTGTAGATCTGTTTGCTCTGTATGTGAACTGTAGGAAATCCAGGGTGTCAGGGAGAGAGGCACAGATGTGAGTTTTGATAATTTGCTCAAAGCACTTCATGATGACAGATGTGAGTGCTATGGGCTGAAAGTCATTAAGGCAGGATGCTGCAAAGGTCTTTGGGATGGGGACAACAGTTGAGGTCTTGAAGATTGTGGGCACAATACACTGACTCAGAGACAGGCCCTAGTGCCTTGTGAGGGTTTACCTTCTTGAATGCCCGTCTCACTGTAGCAGTGTCTAAGCAGAGTGTGGCATCCTCATGTGGTCTGGTGGCATGTGTGGGGTTGTTTGTATCAAATCGGGCGTAGAAGGTGTTGAGCTCGTCCGGAAAAGATGTGATGGTCAGCTGCACAGATGTGTTTTTTCTCTAGTAGTCTGTGATGCAGTGTAGTCTATGCCACACCTGCCTCAAGTCATTGCTCTCTTGGGCAGATTCCACACACTCGATAACCAACTCACTTCAGGAGCTGATGAGTTCTCCCCTACTTAAGTCTGAGGTGCACTGTTGTTGCCAGTTGGTGACTGGAACATACTGTACACTCCTCTGAGCTGTTTTGTGGAGATATTGTCAAATTTAAAGTCAAAGTTTCTTTATTTATTATTCACACCACATGTGGTACATGTGGTGGAATGAAATTGTGTACACGGGGTCCCAGTTACACCCAACAAAAATATAAATTGTAAAGAAAAACAGTAGGAAGATCTAAAATATGAACTAAGAAAAACGTTAAACTAAAAATATGCTAAGCACCAGCAGTACAAAAACAATTCACCGAATAACAACAGCACAAACACAAGTCTCTGTGAGCAGATGAGTACGAATGAACACAGCAACATGAAATAGATCAGCAGCATGAGATCAGTAACATGGATAGTCAACAACATGGATAGTCAGCAGCACATATCAACAATCAAGTGGCATTACAGTAATTTTTTTTTCACAGTGATTATCCTGATTAGAGATTCATGAGTCTAACATCTTCAGGGTAGAAGCTGTTCCTCAGTCTAGTGGTTCTACACTTAATGCTCCTCAACCTCCTTCCTGAGGGGAGCAGGGCAAAAAGTGTGTGTGCTGGGTGAGTGGGGTCCTTCACAATGCATGTGGCCCTCTTCCTGCATCTAGAGGTGTAAATGTCTGTGATGGTGGGGAGACTGGCTCCAACAGTCTTCTGTGCAGCCTTCACCACACTCTGTAAAGCTTTTCTTACTGCAGCTGTGCAGCCTCCATGCCACACGTTGATGCTGGAGCACAGGATGCTCTCCACTGCACACCTGTAGAAGGAGGTGAGGACTGAGCTTCCCAGACCAGCTCGTCTCAGCCGCCTGAGGAAGTAGAGTCTTCGATGAGCTTTCTTGATCAGGCTGGTGGTGTTATTGCTCCAGCTGAGGTTGTCATTCAGGTGCACACCCAAGTACTTGTAGCTGGAGACCACTTCCACCGCAGATACTCCTATGTTCGGGGAAGGGGGTAGGTGTGTTTCTTTCATCTGAAGTCCACAACCATCTCCTTTGTCTTCTTCACACTGATGTGAAGGTTGTTCTTCCTGCACCAGCTCTCCAGGTGTTCCACCTCTTGCCTATAGCTGGACTCATCATTGTATGTGATGCATCAAATCACTGCTGTGTTATCTGCAAACTTTACAATATGACTGCCTGGATGGGAGTGAACGAGAGGGGGCTCAACACACAGCCCTGAGAGGAGCCAGTGCTGAAGGTTATGGTGGAGGAGGAAGAGTTGTGGATCCTCACAGATTGTGGTCTGTTTGTTAATAAGTCTAGGACCCAGCTGCAAATGGAGGGCTTAGTCCTAGTGTGAGTAGTTTGTCCTTCAGGGTTTGGGGGATCATGATGTTCAAGGCAGACATGAAGTCCACAAGAGCATATGGATGAAGGAGTCCTTCTGCTCCAGGTGGGTGAGAGAATTGTGGACCATAGCGGCGATGGCGTCTTCTGTTGATCGATTCTCACAGTATGCATACTGATGAGGGTCCTCGTTGATGTTGATGGTTGTTTTGATGTGGGTCTTTCAAAGCATTTAGTGACTATCGGGGTGAGGGCCACTGGCCGATAGCCATTCAGACCAGTCACTGTAGAGTTCTTTGGAACTGGGAGGATAGTGGTGGTCTTCAGGCAGGTGGGAACTGTTGCCAGGGTGAGAGAGGAGTTAAAGATGTCAGCCAGAACCTCACAGAGCTGATCGGCACCTTCTTTCAGCACCTTCCTTGTGATGTTGTCTGGGCCAGTTGCTTTGTGAGGATTAATCCTCCTGAAAATACTCCTCACATCGGCTGAGGTCACGCTGAGAAGCTCTTCTTCCGGTGATGATGTAAGTCTGGTGCTGGGTGGTCTGTTCGTAATCTTTGAGCAAAGTAAACATGTTGTCTCTTACCTGTATCACACAGGTAAGATACAACACAGAAATCCAATTATACATTGAGCCATTCTCGGAGTTACAACCATCAGAAAAACCCTGTAAGGAAAACAAGGACCGTGGAACCTGGAATCCTACCGAACTCTCCCTGGATCTGAAACGCAACATACGTAAGAACTCCTTCAGTGATCAAACTACTCAAGATAATTTTACCTGCCTACCTGGCAAACCTTGAACTCACCTACTGTTGTCCTGCAGATTCTTCCGTTCCAGACATTTGCTCCACTGTATTACTGACGACTTTTTTATTGGGTCTTCTGTCAAATCTTTTGAGTTCTCAGTACTCTAAACCCTGGGTTAAAATATTAGGGATGGGGCAGATCCGATCCAGTATCGGTATCGGCCTCCGATACAGCATAATTTACGTATTGGATTTTCCGATCCACCTGCCGATATTTCCGACCCATGATGCATGTTGGCTTCAAACTATGGAATGGATTTCCTGAACGGCGGAGTGTCTCATGAACCCAGAGTAATAAGACCCGCCTCACATTCAGGAAATCCAGTTCATAGTTTGCAGCCGGCTACAATGTGAGGACTAAGTTAGCAGCACTGTGGCTAACAGCTAACCAACTTTTCATCTAAACATGTCCACTGTGTGGAAGTATTTTACACTAAAAACACCACAAGACAGCATTGTGCAATGTCTGCAGAGCCATAGCACCACATTAAACCACGTTAAAGTTAGTTTTACGATGGACATTTGAGCTCCGTGGCTTCAGCGGGGCAGTACTCTTTGGTCAAACCGAAAGAGGCGACTCGACCCCAGCCAGCCGCATCCAATCTGCCCCTCTCAGTCTGCCCGTCTCTGAGGAGGGACAGACTGAGCGCGGCTGCCCCAAATCAGGCTGCTTGCTTCGGCTTGAACAAGAAGAAGACGTAGCTGAAACCACGGAGCTCTAATGTTTACCGAGAAGTTGCTAAACTTCATCATAATTAATGATCAACCACTATCAGTTGTAGAAAACGAAGGATTTTTCAGCTTGATACTTGCAGCTAAGATATAGTTTACTCTCCAGGAAATGTTTTAGTACAACAGTAGACTATCATAAAAAACATATGATTTGAAAATTATATATATTCAAAACATAAAAAGCTACATTATAAAGTGATGTAAAATACTAAAAACAGGAACATGTCTGTTGGTTTATGCCTTGAACTTAGCAGATGTTTAAAGCCATTTAACATTTAATTTAATTCATTTATTCATTCATTTAAATGAAACAAATTTTTTTTTTAAATCATCAAAAAGAAAACATTGAATGAAAAGAGTGCAAAAAAAAATTCTTATATCTGCCCCTTATAAAATATAAAACAACTTTAAACAATCACTTAAATTAATCACTTTAATATCCACTTTAAAGGTAGGAATAAAAAGAAACATGTTTTGTGTTAGCAGAATTTAATTCTAACTATAAAACTTATCCAACATCCAACAAAACGTACCTCAAGTTGCCTTTTTGGACATGCATGCATAAAAATATTACCCAAAATGACAAAAGAACTTCGTCTTCTTCGAGTCTAGGTCAATGGCTAGCTAAATGAGGGCCCATTTTATATTTTCCAGGACGAAACCCTTTCTTATTAATGACGTACTCATGTCAAAATGCTGAGTGTTGTTTGGTTGAGACAACAAAGACAAACTAAAACAGTGTCATACAGTGTAAAGTTTTAATATTAGGTCATGTCATGTTCTCCCACACACATTTGTTATACTTGAGAGTTATATATGCCTTAAAACCAAATAAGTACTTCCTTAGTAGCCTGGTTGAAAACCTTTGCTCTTTCCTCTACATTTTGTAAGGAATGTTTAGCTTAATAATAAAAAAATAACTGAGTTATAGTCATTTTTGTGTTTAAGGTCTATTAGCTGTGGTGACTATCTTGAATTGGGTTGACTCACAGGTATTCAGTGGTAAATGCACATCAAAAGATAATTTTATGAGTTTCAATAAATCTGTTTGGTAGACGAAGATCCATCCATTATCTTTACCTGTTTCTCCAGGGATCACTAGTGTCCATGTCCAGCAGTCACTGTGCGAGAGGCGGAAGACACCCTGAACAGGTCACAAGTCCATCACAGTGACACATATAGACAAGCAGGTCAATCAGAACCACTCTCACTCAAAACTATGGACAATTTAGAGTTACCAATCAGTCTAACATGCATGTTTATGTTCAGCAAACACCATCCTGAAAAGCTCAGGATTTGCTTTGGCAATGCTTTTGTCTGGAGGTGCCAGATCTACTGACTGCACCATCGTGCCACCCTTGGTTCAAGATATTTTGCTATAACAGAAAAACAGGCAATTTCTTGATTGCCCAATTTTCATTGTGGTGGTTAACGAAAGACAACAAATGAAATTCAGTTACTTTTATAAAGAAAAGCATAGGATATTAAGTTAAAGAAAACACATTAAATTTACCTTTTACGTTCTTTTGAATAAGCTTTAAAACC